ATATTTATATTTCGTTTATTAAATACATAAAGAATTTCACAAAAGTCAACATGTTTATAAAAATATATTTTTCTTTTTCATTCACTGACACTACATGTATCGTCTACTGAAACAACACATCAATAGAGTTAATCCATATTTACTTAAAATTTCACTTTTTTATTTCCCCAATAATCCATACAACGTCATTGTTTATAATTCCTTTTTTTTTATTCCCTCAATTCCTCACTACAAACAATGATTTTTTTTTTAAATGATGATATTTGGTTTGGAGCAAAATAAATTAAAAAAAAACACACATAATTTATTTGAAAATTTTTTTTTAATCGATACATATCATTTATAAAATCAGACACCAAGCGATCATTAGCATGCGGATTTAAATTATAAAAGTCATGTACAATGTTATTCATGGAACATCCTTTAATTCTTTGTAAGATGAATTAGATACAATAGTGTCCACACAAGGAAGAAGTCACCGACTGGATTCTGGAATCGATATATATATATCTCGGTCCATTGAATATTAGAATACTTTAAAATCTCCTCTGATAATGTTCCGGGGGATTTCCGAGGGAATCAAAGAACTCTATAGATCCTTTTGAGGGAGAATGAAAAACGACCCAATGTAAACCTTTTCCCCCGCATTCGTCTGCATTCACGATCCAAAATTGGTGCTTTTTTTCAACAGCAGGTAGGTCGTCGCTGCATACGACTTGAACGTCGTATGATGATAAATAATGTTTCAATTCGTAATTGTTCATTTGAATATAATGCTCCTAGACTGATCAATGTGGAGAACCTGTGGGAATTTTCAGTATAATATTAAAGTCACACTCTCGGGAAGGGGTAGAGCGAATTTTAATTCTAAGCGACAATGACCTTTCCGCTTCGTATTAAAGTCGATGTAGGGATTAATATTCAAGACATATAATGCATTTCCAATGGGATATTCCCCTCGCTCTACACTAACGTGCTCTCTACCTTGAAGAAGGGTTTGGTAAGCTTCCAAGTATGCGCCTGAGTCGTAATTCGGTTGTATAGGTTTAGAGGGAAGTGATTGCCCGTCAACGTAGAAAGCTACAAAGTTACAATTAAAATGTTGAAAGTTATAAGGAGATCTCTTATAGTCTCCGTTAAAGGCGCTACTGGACACCATTCCCAGAATGAGCGTAGACGGAACTTCTCCTTGAAATACGTCGTCTATGGTCAAACTGAATTCTCCCTTAGCGATGGAAGCAATTTTTAAATTAGAAAATAAGTAGGGATACACGGCAGGGGACTTCTCCAACATTTTCACATGCGCCATGGTAAGGGCGGGATTAGGTCGCTGAATGCAGAGTTTAAAACTGGCATCGATAATTTGTATTTTGTAATCTTTACCCTCAGCTGACTTTAATCTAAATGAATCCTTACTAGGCCATAGTTTTAGGGAAAGTGCGACCCCGTTCAAAACCAAACGATCTTGTTGAAAAATATCTACGTGTAAGGGACCTTCCAAGTCCAAAATTTTTCCACCTTTGGTAAACTGATATCTTTGAAATAAACCGATGTTTATCCCTTTGATCGGGTCCGTATCGTCGGGATCAGAGGTGTCTTTAAAGTAGAGCTGAGACTGACGCACTTCGTAGTTTTCGGAGGATGTAGATAGTAAGGTATCGATGTAGGCCTTGTAGGGATAATTCGTTCCCAGCTGTGACACTGGAGTCTGCTGTAGACTAGTGTCCACTTGAGAAAAGATGCTGTGTAGAGGTAAGTTAGTCAAACCAACGGCATTTTCTTCGGTGATGGGGGGTGTTCAGCGGGCTTAGTATTCTTAGCTTAACTTTTAAGCGACTGTTCTGAAGGTCCATGTGTCCGGTGGAGAGAGGAGGAATGTTGAATTCCAAAGCAGAATACTCAGAAATTTGATTGATAGGTCTAAACTCTACCCATTCTCTTGTAAGTATGGTCGTGTCCGTCGGCGGAGGTTCAAAGATGGAGAGCTGGTTCAGATGGTTTTCGTTCATGATTAATCGTCGAATTGCGTGGTCAGCTTTGGCTTCTTGGTTCTAGGTTTAGAGTTTGCAGGTCTTCCCGGTGGACGATACATTTCTCGCTTTCTTATAAATTTTCGCTTTTTCGGTGAGGAGTTGTCGTTTTCACGTTCCAGTTCCGATTTAGCCATTTCTATTGCCTGAGCTACTGGGGTCACTAATTTCACGGAAGGGTGATGGTCCCTGGAAGGAGTTTCATTTCGGTGTTGCGAGCCGCTCCCCACAATGTACCTCCCTTTATAATCCGGACGAACCCTGCCAGCGGAAATGTCTTCAAAATGCTTCATCCATTTATTAAAATCGGGAACGTGAGGAACCCATTGCATTTTATCGTAGTCGTACACCTCTACTGAGCCCATGGTTTCTTTTTTCGCAAACACAAGACACACGCAAACGATTCAATACTTGTTGGAATAGGTCTTAAGTGTTCGTTTCTTATAAAAACTCTGATGTTACGAAAGTCTTGTTTAGATATATCAAAGTAGAAGGGAGGGTTATAAGACTCTTTAATGTCCTTTGCTACATCGCAAGCTCGCAGAACCGGTATCATATTATTTCGAACATAACTGTCTTCAACTATATCGCAGCATACGTACACTCGAGATACCAAATTTTCTTTGGACAGACGAATGTTCACCTCTAAAAGTGCGCACTCCCAAGAACCGGTCAATATGTATTGCTTAGGTAGAGTAACGATAAATTCATCGGGAGTATTAGAGGGATGAAAATTTGAGTCTTTCCCGTCCAAAAATAAATACACAGTCATGTTTAAAGCGAATCGTGGCTCTTCTCTCCTATAACTTAAGATTCTCTGTCTCTCAAAATACGAATGAGTATCCTCGCCAAGTAATTATCCCTCAAAAGTCTTGGAATCAGTTCGCAGTGAGAGAGTAGTGTGTCTTTTTTTTCTTGCAATTGAAATCCTCGGACTGATCAATTGTCTCATAACAAGCCGCCAACGCCGGAAATGAGAGCGATCGCGAGGTAAGATCGGAACATGTCCTTCCAGCAAGTGAGCCACGACATCGCAAAGAGCTAATATTTGTCGATCGCTTGCTCTAGGAATCATAGTGCGCTGTCGACTGCGGTTAGCTTGTCTGAGAACTCTCAGAAAATCGACATACTGCATTATATTAGATTGCTCCATTTTTTTATTTTTTAAAAGTAAATTCAATGCTATGATTAGGTTTTATTAATTATTATATTTTATATACTACATAATTAACTCTTCTTATAATGCTTCAATGACGATCTGGGTATGTAGCTGTTAATTTTTTTAGGCCATCCCCACCATTTGACTAAAGCCTGATTTCCTTTATATCGCAACACCTTCTCGATTCTATACATGGCGTCTCTGTCGACGAGTACTTTTTGTAATTCTCCTTCGTAAAATGTCCCTTTTATGTCTTCGCCATCTATGTCCTGTAATTGATAAAGGGGTATTCTCTGTTTGACCATGCGCGATTTAACGACGAAATATTCACCTGTCCACCTCTCATCGTATTCTCGATCAAATGGCTGTCTCAGATGAGAAATGCGAACTTTATCGCCGACTTTAAAATGAAAACGCAGAGGTCCAGATATATTTAATTCTGATTTTTTTACTTTAGTTCTGGGAGATCGTACATGCTCATCCATATAGATGCTTCGTCGTTCTTTTTCACTTGGTTGGGTGCCATTTTGATGGTTTGGTGATAGGTGGCGTTGTAACTCTTTGTGACATTAGCTAAGACATCGATCCATCGGTGAGTCTGATTTTGAGTCATGTATCGACTCAATTTTGATTTTATAGCTTTAATACCTCTTTCGGCAACGTTTGCTTTCTTTTCGTTTTGAGAACAGAAAAGAGTCACACCATTTTCTTTTAGAAGCTTCTGAACATCTCTATTCATGAATTCGGAACCTTTGTCGGTTCGTATTTTCTTAGGCTTGTTAGTATTTGACAACAAAGAGGCTAAAGCGCGTGACATCTCGCTACCTTTGGTGGATTTTAAAGCGACTGTCCAGGCATATTTCGAAAATACATCAATGACAAAAAGAAAGTAACCAAATCCATCGTTTTCTTTGCGATACGAGTTCAGTACGGCCGTGTCAGCATCCCACTGATAACCAATCTCTGGAACGACTACTCGCACACGTTTGAATTTTCTATTAATCTGTCTATGTAGAGTAAACGTTTCCTGTTTTTGTAACCAGTTCTTGACTTTGTTCGACTCAGAACATATTTTCCCTCTTTTCGCACGGCACGATATAATTTTTCCAACCCCCCAAATGAGCCTGGATGCTTTGAGTTGTAATAAACGGACTCTAAATATTTCTCGTACGACATGTCTCTATCAAAAATTAAAAGAAATTGTTCTTATAAACAAATCTCGATTTCTTGTTGGAAATACTACGTTGTCTAAATCTTTCAATCTCTTGATACCGGTGATAAGAACTGTTCCTCGCAAATGACAGGTGAAATGAATACCTTCTCGTTGTAACATGACAGCGGGAAACAACTCCGGGTCGTATGAAAAATTCAAACTTTTAGACAAGGAACTTGCGTTCACTTTTCCAGATAATTTGTGGCAAGCAGATGCAGTGACTAGTCGTACGTTTTGCAAACGTACATCGTATCCGAGTTTCTGTATGACGCGTGCATACTTTCTCAGTCTTTTTAGGCCTTGACTGAAACTTTCACAAGGACCATTACAATTTATTTTCCCATTGGAAAATATTAAACAAATTCCTCCGATTTTCCTATTTTGGTAAATTACACCCGGAAAGGACCGTGGGTCGTAACGTACATTAATTAACTGTTGAGTCAAAAAGTTGAGATTTAGTACACAGTTCATTTCTCCCTGATAAACAACGTTAGTCAGCCTCATGTTTAAATCATAAAATGATAAACGCCCTTTCCGAGTTGTAATTTTTATGAGCATATCCTGATGATGTAATATGATTATATAACAAATCGGAAACATGTTTAACAATAACACAGATCATACAACAAAAAGGAATCATGTTATTGACTTGGAGCCCATCGTGGTCCCCCTGAGGCCGTTGGAAAACTTGACGGCTCCCGCCATTATGGACACTATTCAGAACGTCTTAAACAGCCACCAAAAATTGAAGGTAGATTCCAGTTTTTACATGGACATTGGTATCATTGCTCTGCCGAAAGGCGGGGGTAAAGTGTACATAAATCAACTGACGGGCGAGAACAATTCCCTCAAGAGGAAACAGTCCATCATACAAATAGTGAACGACGACAACATGTGCATGGCGCGCGCCATTGCTGTGACGTGGGGTAGGTCGATCGAGTGTCCAAAAGAGGAGTGGCATTCCATAAAACAAAATCGAGGGAAACAAACCAATCTGGACCTAATAATGGAATTCCGGAAAATGCCGAATAGCCATTTAAAAATATGATCAAGCCCGGGTCCAAGGCGCAAACAGATTTGGCAAAGGAATTGTTGAGGCAAGTGGGACTACCTTCGGATAGGAAATGCACCATCTTGGACATTCAACGCTTTGAGACTTATCTGGAGCGAAAAATTATAGTGTTGGACGCTTCTCTAGGGAACAGGATATGTTATCGCGGCCAAGATAGGGAATTCCCTCAACTGTTTTTTTACTTAGTAGGGGAGGATCATTTCCATGCCGTCGTGACCATTACTGGATTTTTCTCTTCATCTTATTTCTGTAAACTGTGCCTCAAACCCTACACCGACAAAAACCGCCATTTTTGCGGCAAGCCCTGTCTCGTGTGCAAGAGACTCGGGGAATGTCCCAAGACGGACCAGTCTATTCCGTGCCCGGAGTGTAACATGACCTGTCGCTCGATGGCTTGCTACGAAGCACATCGAGACACGGACGAAGGCAAAAAGCAGAGCCAGTGTCAAAGGTAAGTGCAGGTTATTTATGTATGATGATTTAAAACAAAATTCATCTACTAGTATATAATTCACAGGATCATTTTAGAAGTAGCTTTATGGCTTATACATATAACGTTACTTTATACATGTATATACATTGGTTAACAGGTGTCACACAGGGGCTATTACATAGTTTTACACAAATATGTATGGGGGGGGGGGGGATCAGAAAAAAGGAACTAAGCAGGTGTCTTTTGTATTATTAATGTTGTAGAGTTTTCTCTCTTAAAATATTCAAACACAAATTTCCCAGGGTTTTTTTTTAAGTATATTTCCTGAGTCGGAGTTAAGTAATTGTTGCCATACTAGGTCTTAAATTTTTTTTTTAATATATTTTTTCTCTTAACTCAGTATAAAATTTATATATTTGTCATGGATCATTGTAGGTACTGGAGGTGTCTCACATGTTACCGGGTCGTAAATCGGCATGGTCGAGACCTGAAAAAACAACCTCACGTGTGCGGAGAATGGCACTGTAAGCAATGTAACGAAACAGTAGAAGAAAGCCATTTATGCTACATGAGAGCATTACCACCCGCCGAGACCCGCTGGCAAAAGTTAATATTTTTTGATTTCGAATGCAGTCAAAATGAAAGGTATGCATCTCGCTATTAAAATGTGTTATGATAACTTTAGACTAAAATAGAAGAAAGACTTTTATATATATAATCCAATATACAGTTTTATATATAAAAAAAATCATTAATGTATAGAACGACGTAATTATATAAAATCGATCACATGACCGCCTCGGGCAGAAGCGACTTCCTACGATGGCACGCGGAACAGCGAGATCGAGTGTTTGATTTCGCGACGGAAATGAAAGACTACTGTCGCAGTGACGTCACCATCTTACGAGACGCCTGCCTGAAATTCCGAGCCCTGATCGCTCAAGCCACCGACGATCTCGTGGACCCCTTCGCTTCGTCGATGGTAGCCAGCATGTGCATGACCATCTTCCGCACCTGTCATTTACGAGAGGAAGTCCGAGTGCGACTAGGTCGAGCGACGGGTCACGGGTCTCAAGCTACCCGCGAGAGACGGCCAGGTTCATTACCAGAACCGTTGGTACTCCAGGGAAGAGTTTGAATCCGCCACCGACATGGTACTGACCAACCCCAAGAGCGAGATAGTCCGACCCTTGAAAGACGAGGGATGGTACACGGGTCACTACCGAGCCGGCACTTTGACCCTACGTCTTCCGGACGGACCAACAGCGCAAAGAGACCAAACCAGTCCCCAAGCCTCCAGGCACTAAGAAGTGGATCAAATTATAATGGATGCCCTAACAGAGAATCGCATGAAGGTCCATTTTAATGTGATTAAGGGTATTGGCGTAATACTCATGTTGTATAGCACTACCATCACTATACTTCTCGGCGTTAAACAGGAGAATCATCCCTTTCTCCTGTGCTCCTTCATTACCCTCACTAAACGCGACTCTCTGCACCAAGATTTCGCAAACGCATCTGGGAAATGGCGTTTATGCAACTGTATGTACATATACAGGGAGGACGAGAGTAGACCTGCGCCATTTCGTCAATGGAAAAGCAACCATCAAGGGGATTTATCTGGACGAGCACCAGTGGACAGAGTTGATGCGTTCGAGTGACAGTATCACATAACTCTTACCTCATTTTATGTAATACTTTTTGTATATATATATATATATATATATATATATATATATATATATATATATGCTTGTATCGAAATAAAAGTTTCTCAGTCATGGTTCAGATTAGTAATATCGTGTGTTCTGCCGACCTAGGCTGTACTCTCGATTTGAGATTGTTTACACTCCAAGCCACTAACGTACATTACGATGCCAAAAAACATAATGTGGTCAGTTGGAGGCACAGAAAAATAGGTGGCCATTGCTTTGTGTACGCAAAGGGGAAATTGGTATGCAATGGCGGTGTGAGTTCCAAGGAAGAAGCTAGAAGGCGGATCCGTCGCTACGCTCGAAAAATACAACAAATGGGTTACCAGGTACATCTGAGTAAATTTAAAATCTTGACCGTCTCCTTGTTTCACGACTTGGGCAAACGACTAGATTTGTCGACTATAGATGGCGCTCGTTACGAGCCAGAACTGTTTCCGGGCGCCATACTTAACGAAGGACCCGTCTGTTTTACGTGTTTTCATTCTGGGAAAATTATCATTTCAGGAGTTACAAAAACACGTCAGCTTCGCCGATACGTGTATCCGGTACTGTGTAAATTGTTATAAGAGAATATTTAAAAAGAATTTATAAACTAGCCATGCCGGCCTGGGAAACTTACCTTAAAAATACAGTCCCTGAAACGTTCTACTTTCCCACTTGAACGGTGAGCGAACGCTGAACGAACGGTGAACGAACGCAGAGCGAACGGTGAGTGAACGATGTGTGAACGCTGAACGCAACTTGGTGAACGATGTGTGAACGGTGAGCGAACGCAGAACGCGAACGGAGCGCAAACGCGAACGCAAAGTGAACGGTGAACGAACGGCGAACGCAAGATGAACGATATATTCGGAATGCCTCTGATCTTTTCCTTGCATTGAAACTATTTTATTGTATTATAATGTCAGGTGCTGAAAAAAAAAATAATAATAATAAATATGAATGAATAAATAAGTCAATAAAATAAATTCTCCAAAATTGTCCTAAGAAAGACGATGCATGCACATTAAGTTTTTAATCACACGATTTTTATCGCATTAAAACATTGCAATTGTTGCCGAACGCTGAAGCATAAAAGATATTGTTTTTAGTTTGAAAATAAAAATGTTTATTCTTATTTGATAACAATTCAGAGAAAACGTATGATTTATAGGATGAATTAAAGCGGTTGTAACTTATATTCATATATATATCTCCGTGTCAAGGCGATTTCGTGTAAAGTAATGAAAAAAAATTAATTACATTTATACGCTCGTATTTTAGATTTTTAATACAATACTATATTATGTGTCATTTCTATTTTTCATTATGATTTATTGAGCAGACGTCTACATGTATCTCTAGATGGCCGTGATTATACTCGGACAAGATGATACAAAGATACATATTCATATTATTTGTTAAAAATTCAATTTTCAGAACATGATATTTAAGTAATATGGTGTTATAGTTTTTATTAAACAGACAAATGAGAGAGAGAGAGAGAGTACTATTCAGTTTTAGCCCCCCCCCCCCTCCTTTCAGGCTCCACCAAATGTTTGTACCTATATCAAACAAAAACTCTGAATTTTTTTTTCTAAATATATCAGACAGTGAAAGTAACTTTTTTTTTTTATCAACAAATCATACCCATTTGTTTGACAGTCATACTCGTTTTTATTTTCCTGCTTTAAGTTATCACGAAGTCCACGTGCTTGTCCTGTCAATCAAAATCATTCGACACTGTGCAGGTGTGAAAGTTTCGTCACATCGAAGACGAAGTGCGAGTATTTCCAACAAGTTATAACATTTATTTTTATCATTTCTAGATTTGATTCCAACATTTGAATAATAAATTAGTAAAATACATTGGGCATTAACACTTGAATGTGAAACATACTCTCTGCCAATTTCAAATACCACCGCCGACACGTGTACATTTTGATCTACTATTGTTTTGTGACTTTTTTAGATGCATGTTTGTTTTGAGACTGAAATTTTTGTTCTAAAAAAGACCGTAGCTTTTTTTTTTAAATGTTAATTAAAATATTCTGGAAATACGGTACTGACTAAGTCACCGATTTAGGGGGAAAGGGGGGGGGGTATTAATCATATCGAATGGCAAACATATAAAGTTACGGTGAAGAAAGACTTTCTTTCTCTATAACTATAGACTTTACATATTACAGTAGAGAAATTCTGTAGTGCATTACATTTTAAATAAATATTTCCTTTAACCACACTATCATTTTAATTCGTTCTGAAGATAATAAATAAACATGATATCCGCAGTACTATATATAACTCTCAGAACTAGTTCTATTATATTTTCTGTAGTAATTAAAAAAAACGTAATAGAAATAAATATTTTCGTAATTTTGCTGCGTAATTATTTGACTTGAATAATTATATCTCAATTAACGATTTGTCGTCTTTAACAAAACAACAAAATGTTGCAGTGCTTGAAGTATTTGCACATTGCCCTTAGTTAAATTTAATATTTCAGCATCGTTCTACATAGGTACAGAATGTGCTTGTAACAACATTTATTTTCCAGAGTAATTTAATAAATAACCTAACAGCTAAGCTAGAATAATAAAAATATATATCGTAGATATTTTTCCTCGTGAAATAATGATTCTTCAAACACGATATGTTAGTTAATAAATTAAAAAAACCTGTAACTCCTTAACTACAAAAAGATAAGTCCTTTCACTTCGGAGTTCCGAATGACAATAAAAACTGAACGATAGGTGAACGCTGAACGCAAGATGAACGCAAAGTGAACGGAACGAAGAGCGAACGCTGAACGCTTTGTGAACGGTGAACGCGAGCGCACGGTGAACGGTGAACGCAAAACTGTGAACGGAGAGCGAACGGTGAACGCACGGTGAACGCACGCTGAACGAACGGTGAACGAACGGTGAGCGAACAGAAAAATGGGAAAGTAGAACGTTTCAGGGACTGTATATATTATAAACCCGGTAGTCCGGCTAGTTTTGCTGGAGCCACTAAACTACACAGTTATGTCACTTCGGAGGGTAAATATTCTATAAGTTTACATAAAATCCGGAAATGGTTGCAAAAACAAGACACTTACACGCTCACACGTCAGGTGAGGCGAAATTTTCCAAGAAACAGGGTGGTGGTTGAAGGTTTCGACAGTCAGTGGGAGGCGGATCTCATGGATCTTTCGGCCCTGGCTTCTGATAATAGAGGATACCGCTACGCTCTAGTGACTATCGATGTGTTTTCCAGATACGTTTGCTGCAGAGCAATAAAACAGAAAACGGCTTCTCAGGTTCTGGAGGCCTTCCGAGCCATTCTTGGTGAAGGAAGGACACCAAAGGCACTGAGAACCGACAAAGGAAAAGAGTTTAAAAATAAACAATTTCAGTCCTTTTGTAAGGAAAACAACATTCACTTCTTTACTTCCCAGAATGAAACTAAATGTGCCTACGTCGAGCGTGTCATCAAGACTGTAAAAATGAAAATCTTTCGGCTGACTTCGATCCAGAAAAATTACATCGATCACCTGGACGATTTGATAAGCAGTTACAACCATACCCGTCACCGCTCTCTCGGCACGTCACCCTCTGATGTATCCAAAGAAAACGAAAGTGAAGTAAGATTACAGCAGTATTTAATAAGAAAAGGAAAGACCAATAAGAGGGGAGCCTATCGATTCAAACCCGGAGACTTGGTACGCATATCTCATCTGAAGCGCAAGTTTGATCGCGAGTATCAACAGAAATTTACTGGAAAAATATTCAGAATAAAATCGCGCAGGCGGCGACAGAACATACCCGTTTATACTTTAGAAGACTGGGATAAAGAGCCCATCGAGGGTACATTTTACAACTCGGAATTGCAAAGAGTCCTCGTAGACAAGAACACGTCATTCAGAATAGAGAAGATTCTCAAACGAAAAAAAGGACAGGTGCTGGTGAGGTGGCTGTTTTACTCTCCAAAATTTGATTCCTTGATTAAAGCCTCGGAAGTCAAGAATTACCTCTGAGATTATGAGAGAACATTTCCTGTTCATAACAAACCACGATGCTTTGGTGACCTCTGATCGACCTGGAGAATTTACAGTAACTTTGCCCCAGGCGTTAAATCTACACGGTGATTGGATGTGTGCTCTGAAAGAAATATCAATACGAGGAGGTTTACCTGACGACATATCCGTCTTTTATTTCGGGGTAGATTTTTGCGAAGAGTCTGTGATTAGAAATAAGACTTACCCTGTGCTGAGACTGATAGATCATGTTAAACCCATGTAGATATTCAGCGACCCATACTACATGAAAATTACGAGGAGTTATCTCAGCCACTTGAAATTTTTTATAAGAGACCTTAACTTGGAAGACCTGCATTTTCATGGTACGCTGACCTGCACCCTTCACTTGAAGCAAAAAAATGACAACTCACGTGTACGACTATGCCAGTAAGAGGTGGGTGCCGTACGTCGCAGATGTTGATAAATATAAAGATTATTTTATCGCCATGAGTGAAGGCATGGTTAAACCGGGACGTCACATCATCCGCCCGCAGAGAGGAGCGGGTGAATCGTTAAAAATTGTGTCACCTACCGCCCAGGCCCTGGAAATAGCTAAAGAGACCCTGAAAGCAAAGAGGCGGCGTTATGACGATACACTTTCCTATAAGAGCTGACAAACCCTACCGATTTTGCTCACATGATGGAACAACTGGACTCTAGCCTGACTCTTTTTCAAAAAGACCCCCAGGACACGGGGGTGTTAAGCAGAGACTATGTCGAATATAGACCTGTGAACCAATTGACAGACGACTCTCCTCTGGGATTTAATATCCCAGCTACATCTATCAATTACATAGACTTAAAAAAGACGCGCCTGCACGTCAGATTACAACTACTGAAACCCGATGGTAACCCCGTAGACCAAGACGATCCTGTCGGCTTGGTGAATTCACCCCTCAATAGCATCTTTTCACAAGTGGATCTTCAATTGCAACAGCAACCCGTGAGTCAACTTGGTACTAACTACCCCTACAAAGCTTACCTGGATTCACTTCTTGGTACGGATAGACTGACCCAAGAGAGCAAACTTTCATCAGAGGGCTTCATCCCCGACTCGGCCGGGTTTATGGACGACCCCAACCCTAAAACTGGTGGCAACTCTGGTCTTTTTATGAGATACAACTTCACGAAGGAGGGCAAGGTCGTGGACTTTGAAGGTCCGTTGTTTCTAGATGTATGTCAACAAGATCGATTGATGCTCAACGGAGTACCGCTACAGATTAAACTGTGGCCTCACACCGATAACTTTAGACTGTTGTGCACCCTACCCGGTTTCAAAGTACATCTCAGAGATGCCTGTTTAAAGATTTGCGTTGTAAAACCCAATCCAGGCGTTTTGTTAGGTCACGGGGAGGCCATCAAGAAGACACCCGCATTGTACCCCTTCAGTAGATCAAATATTAAAACCTATTCTTTGTCCCCAGGTCATTTCGCGTTCAACGCCGATGATTTGTTTCAGGGAGAAGTACCAAACACTCTTGTCATAGGGTGTGTTAGCTCCGTCGCTTACAACGGAACCTATAACAGATCGCCCTTTAATTTTCAACACTTCTACTGTAGTTTTCTCAATTTTTCTGTTGACGGAAGGAGCGTACCCAGTCGAGCATTGCAACCTGATTTTGAAAACAATACGTACATCGAGGCTTATGAAACTCTCTTTGCTAACACGGAAAAGGCCATCAACATATCTAGGGGAGATTATCCAAAAGGATATTGTCTTTACGTCATTAACTGTCAGGATGGAGGCAATTTAACGACATTAAAGAAGGGGCATACTCGTCTTGAAATGAAGTTTGCACACGCCTTAATCGAATCCGTCACCATCATTCTGTATGCCACTTTTCCTCATGTGATGCAGATCGATCAGGCCAGAAACGTTTATTTTTAACAAAAAAAAAAATGAATGCAAGGGACTTGTGTCATGTCTTACGTCATTACTGCGGCTCGTTATTTGGAGGCGTGTGGTCAGCAGATACATTTCTGGCATGCCATTTGGAAAATAAACTGTACATAGTGAATACAGATCACAGTCATGGACCGGGGATACATTGGGTAGCGGTGTATTTCCCCAAGGATGGCATTCCGGAATATTTTGACTCTTTAGGACGAATACCCATTGATTCCTGTCAGATTGTTATGAACAAATGTAACAGCAGTTATGTTTGTAATTTTAAACAAATTCAATCATTTTCTTCTGATACCTGTGGTCAATTTTGTGTATTTTATTCGATACTCCGATGTATGGGTTACAAATTGCATTTTATTTTTAAACTCTTTGGAGATGTGGAATACAATGATACCTTAGTAAATCAGTATTATTCAACTGTTTTAAATGCAATGAAATAAATAAAAACAAAAGCATCTTGTCAATTTATTTATTTTATCTTCAGTTTTAATTTGACCATTCAGTTTTACAATACATTAATTTGACCATTCATGGAAAGTGTTTGGGTTGCACTCCGGACATGTTAGCATTGACGTTTGATTTTGGTAGTTCAAATGGCAGAGTTGGATCTCCTCATACTCTGAGACCGCCTGTTCAACCATCGGGAACGCCGTTAACAGCACTTCCCATTCGGCTTTTTTAAGGGCTAGGCCCTTTCTGGTAGCCACTGGTTCTTTGGCCTCTGGCGGAACCCAAAAATGGAGGATGTCCACTGCCGGATATTGGTTATTAATGGATACATGTACGTTACCACCGAGGTGGTACTTCTCGTTCACTTCCTCTCCCTTGAAGAGTTTTTCTGCCATTTTTTTGATATCGTCCAGTTGCTATAGAAAAAAAAGGAATAATTAACTTATACATCATACTTATATATGGAATATCAGAGTAAATTGGACTTCAAATTAACCTACCTAAGCAAAATTCTTCCATCTATAGATGGGGAAGGTGACGCCTTTCTTTGTAGGCGCATTGGGGGCCGTCCATTCTCTGATGTCGACCCTCGTGTTTTCCATGAATGGTCTAACTGTTAGGAATCTCATGGCCGAGATCTTGAGGCAGTACTCTGTGTTTGGAATTGTATCAAAGTCCATGGTTTGACTGTGAAGTACTAACAGAGCCCCTCTCTTTATATAGTTGATAAACCCCCACCCCCTATTCACTGCCGTATATGTAATGTATCCTTTGATGTGAGTTACATGTGTCATTTCATCATATAGGGAAGCAGAAGCGGTCATTCTGTTATTTTTCAGGGTATGACTATGTAAGAGTACATACATCACCTTTCATAATTAGAAATTCATTATGTATCCAATCCAGCGGTATGTTCTCTGAAGTGCCGACAGGAAGCTACTTTGCGCATGAGTGAATCACTTGTTGAAATTAATACTCGGCATATCAAGGGGCGGCATACTTCTAAAACGACCATACTGTGCAGGTGCGAGGACCTTGCGGGTATCAATGAACATGGCTACCTATTTAACATGTGATTAGGAGTTTATTAAATGCGGGTAAAATAATATAAATATATGTGTGTGTGAGAGTATATTCTCAGAGATTTCTTTTAACTTGTATCTTCAGACCAGCAATATGAGCATCAAGTTCATTTATGGAGATTTGATAAGTATAAGGTCGGTCGATGCCATAGTGCATCAATGTAATTGCTTGACCGTAAAATCTCACGGTCTAAGCCGCACCATCAGCGATACCTTTCCTTGGGCCGATGTGTATACTACACGAAGAGCCGTCCGGGGTAGGAACCTAGCCGTACCGTCGGATAGAAGTGTCCCCGGAACCCTCCAAGTGATGAAAGCTCCGTCAGTCGATATTCCGGATGTCGTGTGTCTCTTTGCGCAGTGGGACTTTGGCTGCGGTGTGGAAAGAATTCCCCTTCACATTGATTCCGCGACTAACAGAGAGGGGTGGTTTAAGGAATGCTTGGACGCATTGGGTTTAACGACCTATCAACGATGCGCCTTTCCTTTTCGAATAGGTTGCGGCTTAGCCGGAGGCTATTGGAAAACATACGAAAAGATGACACGAAATTTCACTGTAACGTATAACAAAGACGTCACAATTGTCGTACCCTTGGAGAAAAAGGAGGAATTAGCAACATTAAAGGAAGCCGATAATTCAGATTCCGAGGAGTCGATAGGGGATTCCATTTTAGACGGTTCAGTTGGTGAGCTTTCATCTGGAGACGACACTGTGGATTTTATGTTATCCGTACCAAAACTTTCTAGCAGTGAAGATTCAGACAGTGAGGATGACGAGTCTAGTTTCGGTTCGTCGCTTCCCAGCCCAGGACTTTCTAGTTCAAGTAGTGAATCACCCGGCCGGGATGTTATTTGCCTTGATTAGGCCGACCACTTGAATGAAAGAGTGATCCAACAAAGACTATTTAATAAATTCACTTAAATTTTGTGTTTTTTTTAAATAAAGAAATGTGAGATTAAAATCGATTGTCATTAATTTAACTTGTTTATTACAAGCAGTATTGTTACCACTAACGTTATTTTTTTACAGTAATAAATATATATGAATTATATGTGTATTGTTCATAGCTGTAGGGTACATGTTAACCAATTTTCATGTAGTGTATTTCATTAGTATATCTGGGCTCGTGTTACCTGTGATTATATATATATATATGTTATACACTGAGTATTAGCTGACCTTTACCTGTAGATGACCTGTACTCTTTACGTCAGAGTACCTGTGGGGTTGTTACCTGTGATTATAGTCTATACGCCATACGCAAGTACTACACATATACTACTTGTACTCGATTGGGCGAAGACAAAGTCCCTTTTTCGTTGGAGCGAGTGGTTCTTGGCCTACTGGTTGCCAGTACTGACGAATGTCCACACATGGATTGTCCTTTTTAATTGTACAAAAAATGTTGGATCCCATGTGGTAATGTAACTCTTCATTCTTGTTCAAAGCGTTATCAATCATGTCTAAAGCCATTGTCCATGTTTTAAAAATGTCTGGTTTTAAACTTATTCCCTTGCTGCTGGGATATCGATCCGATTCCCATTCGCGTAGATCTACTCTGTATTCGTTATCTTTCGTCGTGTATACCTCCACGAAGCGTCCATTTTCTAACGATAACTTACAGCAAGAGGAAAACATGTTGTCACCGTGAATACTGCTGGTCAAATGTTGGAATACTAAAGCACGTTCTGGAAACGGAACAGGATGGTCGTCATATCCGATTCATAATGTATTCATCTTGCTAGACCGGAATTGATGGGTTGTCGTTCATCATCCGAAATGCAAACATTGCGTGTTAATGCTGACTTGTACAATATTTTTGTTTACGGGTGTAATCGTTTTCCGGTCTGAATACATGGATTTCCAGTTATGTTACTCGATATTAGTTTTAAATGTTTCTTGAGCACTAAATTAATCATTGGGGATACTCTCTCGATTCGTGTCTTAAACCGACATCTGTTTACAGCTAACATCATCCACTCTCCTTTACGGTCCTCGTAAGGAATGTTAATTATTATCACTTCATTTAAAAATCTTACACACTTTTTCATCTTTATCAAAATCAATTTTTTTGATCACCAATTCTTTTAATTAACCACAGTGTTACTCTTTTAATAAAAACACAGACTAAACCATTTGTTTTCCGGAATGACTTCTTCAAATGATTTAATCTAGGTTACATGTCGTAGTATTAATCCTAATCATTGATTACGACTACCCCCTTCTCGGCGCTAATTACCTTCCTGTTTGCTACGTCACGATCCTCAATCGTACCGATCCTCAAAGTGGGCTATAATGTCCCCCTCTATACTACTGATGACTGAAAAATTATTCGGTATGGTCGAGTGCGATATTCGCGTACCGGATACCTGGCCTGCTTACTTCAGCCACCCCACTATGACCCCTTATGAGTATTTTTCAGAAATGAGTCCCCTCTTTGGTACCACCGACATTCCCTTTGACGTGATAGGTCATCACATGCAAAATCCTGTAAAACGTTTTCATCTGTCCGATAAACCGCGTCGTCAATTTATTGGGGGAATGCGGGCTCGTCAATTATTAATCGCGACTCCATTACTCAAGTGGTACATAAGTCACGGTCTGGAAGTTACTAAAATATACCAGACCGTGGAATATGACAGACAAAAATGTTTTCAAAGTTTCGTGCGCGACGTTAGTGATGCCCGGCGTCAAGGTGATGCAGATCCCTCTAGAACCATTCTCGCGGACACCCGGAAATTAGAGGGAAACAGTGCATACGGGTCCACGATAATGAATCAAGAAAAATTTCAGGACATGAAATACGTTCGGGGGGAAGGAAAGGCCATGTTGGAGATTAACCAACCTCAATTAAAAAAATTAACACCCCTTTTAGACAAAGAGGAACTTTATGAAATTGAGAAAAGCAAAAAAGCTATAAAATTAAATTTACCCATTCAGATCGGCTACTTCATCTTGCAGTATGCAAAACTACACATGTTACAATTCTATTATGATTCCATGGATAGATTTGTTGACCGTGCAGACTTTGAGTACTGCGAGATGGACACCGACTCTGCTTACATGGCCATTTCGGGACCCACCTTTGAGTCTTTGATTAAACTTGAATTGCGGCAGATTTACGATCACAGTCTCAAAGCTCACTGTGTCGACAGTTTAGAGATCGAGGCGGAATGCGACCGGCATTGGTTTCCTCGCACTTGCTGTAAGGAACACGCAAAGTACGATCGTAGAACGCCTGGACTCTTTAAAATCGAATATGAAGGGGATCTCTTTGTTCCAAGACTTATATCGTTTCGGCTCGAAAGCAAGTGTCGCTATCAAGCGCCGTGATAACGGCGAAGCGCTTACTTAAACGCGCTAAGAAATGTAAATCACTGAACAGGAGGAAAAATATTAAACCAAAAGATATCACCCATTGTAAATTTTCATGCAAAGGTGTTTCCAAG